TTTTTCTCACATTACACTCCCATTACGGAACATTTTTTATTTATGGCACTTCAGTCATCAACATATGAATCTAACAAGTGACGTGTTCCCGTTCACAAGAAGAAGGCCACAACAAAACATTCCAAAGAAGCAAGCAAACGAATAAAAAAAATAATTCAGAAAATTCAACTAAAGTACAGAGAACACGTGAGAAACTGCTGAAAGACTACAAGGTGATATACATCAGATAATGGCATATTTCTCAAAATGAATGGAAAGGATATTTATACATTGAGCATGAGAACTTCAAATAAATGATACAGTTATAACTACGTCAGGAGGTGAGAATGAAAGAGAAAACTGCCCGATTATTGACAGGAGGAACCAGTTGTGACCTACCCTTGACTGGCTATGTCGACATTTCTTACCTGTCTCCTTTTGGGGCTCTATAGTAATACCCGTACGTCTTCTAGAGGGATCTACTTCATCACATTCTTTTCGTATGGAGAAGCTGGTAGAACGGGTGAAGGGGAGGCGCAGGGAGGGAGTGGGAAGGGGAGGAGGAATCCACCGCTCCATCCATAGATGCGCCTTCAATTCTTCAATCCTTTGGATGTCGACATTCTACCTCTCTAGTGATTAAAGATTTGTCAGGAAGGATAAAGCACAGCGCGCTATCAACTTTGGGAAGCATTTTGAGAGCTCCTTCGACACCAGAATGCTAAAAAGGAGTTGGATAAAGCCTGGCGTCGTCATCCCACTCGTTCAAGCCCAGTTTCGACAGCAGAGGTGAAAGGATTGCTATCTCAAAGGGCGCAGACGAGCAAGCCTATCCGCGCTGCTGCCTCCCCCCAACCTTGGTAGCCAGCAAAAAAAACGAATGTTTGCTATGTACAGGACAATACTCCTAGAATACCCGATCAATTGTGAACCAGTACCTTGATTTTTTCCTTTCGAAATATAGTTCATATCCGATGGCAGCAAGGAGCGCAGCTACGAGTAGAAACGGAGGCAGAGACGTATGTATAACTGGGTACCGTTGAGACGCCCATTTTTACCTCTGATATGGAAGATCTATGGAATTCTCAAAACCGGGTAGTGCGAGAAGAGAGCCACAAAATTTGGCCCCATTCGGGAACCCTGCAGAAAATGCAACCCATATCCTGGAGATAGGGAAGGCGTGGTGTCATACTTCATTTATGAATCGTGTCGTCAAATGGAATACCCCACAAAAGCACAATCGCTGCTACGTCTAAGTGAAGCGCACGGGCACGCCCTCTCCCACACCTAGATATGAGGCCAAAGGTGATTGTGAGAGCTCCAGTTAACGATACCGTTGAGGAATGTCTGGAAGCCTCTTCATAGCAAAGAAGTCTTCTTGAGAAAACTGAGGTGTGCCGTAACCCAAATGAGCTTGGTCCTGCCACCTTTGGTGAACATTACCGTAGTCTAGCCGAGGTTTACGACACACATAAATGGTAAAGAAAATCGATAAACACATTGAAAACAAGTAAAAAACAATACCAACGATAGAGAGGTAGTATGAATATCCCCAATGTTTCTCATAGATTCCGCTTACGGAGACTTGATAGAAACGATACAGGACCATATGGGAATAGATGGCAAATGCAACGGCAGCACCAGCACATAGTATTGCAGCAATAGAAATGAATCCTGTGGACAGGACACTAGCTACTCCCGCGTAGAGTGAGTTCCAAGTGAAGCAAAAAGGCTATTAGACAGAGAATAGCGCAGAGTTGTCCTGCGAGGAATATGTGTAGAAGAGTTTGTTGCCATGTGGAGAAGTACAAATCACCGGCGTCCTGGTTCAGTACATCCATCTGGGAGGGCATTTCATGATTTCTTTGGGAGAATGCATAGGAGCACATGTACATTCCTGAAGGTCTTGTCCTGCACGACATCCACAAACCACTTTGTAACCACTGCTGCAATTCTCTGGCATAGACGACCTGCCAAGCTGGCGTTGCTAGGGCAACAAATATGGCTATTAACCCTAGCAGAGCAAATGCTACAGCTGGTATTTGTAGAAGCGTCTTTGTCGAAGGCATTCACTAGTAGAAGTGAGAAAGTAGTAAAGTAAGAGTATTGTGCGTGAGACGTGGCGCAACCTGCACAGTCGAATGGAATGTGGGTGGTTGTTCGATCGATCGTCCTTGACGCGGTCCTCGTATTGAGCGACACGTTATTCAACAAGGGAAACGTTAGCGGGTCAGTCCGGCCATTTGCAATTCCAGGTGAGCACCTTTGTGAGCGCATTTAGGTGCTCAGCTCAGAGCTACCTCCAGCTGCTTCATTGTGATAGCTGCTGCTGGACAACGCAATTAACGCTACAAAAGAGCGTGAGGTGCAGGTCACAGTCAAGGTACATCCTAATTTAGAGAGAATTTTTGCTGGATACAACCCCCTCCTCTCCAAAAGTCTGCACGACCCTAGTTCCTTTCCCACCCATCGTTCCACCAACGTGCTTCCTAAATTTTCGCATTGTCCCAGATTTTCTACCAATTTTTCCCCAAAACCTGCCGCGAGTAGTGGGTATATAACGCAACTTAATAGGGAAAAGCGGCGAAAAGTCAGGATCACTCACATCGAACGCAAGTATGACCCCCTCCAGCGACCGAATACGACCCCCTCGATAGGGACCCCAAGGTATTGCACCCTGATATTTACCCGCCTGGGGTGGGACTTTCACCTATAGAGATCTTTACCATTGTGGATATTCTTCGACACGTTGTGAAGAGATGTCCGCATTCGCACTCTGTTTCTTGTCCCTGACTTATTGGGAAGGGCTATGGATAAAGTCACAGGGGAGAGGCTTGCATTAGGGAATCATAATGGGGCTCTATTTGAGCCGCTATTTGAGCCGTATTCAGCAGCGCAGCTGTAACGTTTTAATATGGCACACACCTCCGTCTCTTCTGGGCCTCGCCGTAGAGCGCGCTATCTCCACCTAGGTGGTCGCTAGGAACACCATGAAAAATTAACATGAGCCCTAACAACTAAGAGTGAGCATTCAAAAAGGCTCCTTTGGGAGAAGCTGGAGTTGCCGTCATGTAGATGTGGGTTTTTGTCAGGATTCAAAGAAATGACACCGCGCTCCGAAGTGGGCGGTTCAAATTGAAAACGCCCTCTCCCGAGGTACTTTACTCCTGACAGGTGTGGTGTGAACGACACCATGTCTTTAGTGCAGGCTATAAAAAGGATAAAGGATAAAGTCTTCGCCGTTGATCAATCCCTTTGTGGGATGCGGCACGCATTCTACTTCCATTCAGAATCGTAGTGGCTTATTGAATGCGATGTGGCCTATACAATGACTTGCGGTGGCCAGCCGATGTACAAGTCAGTGTTTTATCCTCCCAGACGAATCTGGTACCAATTTACCGTCCCCGGAGGGTAGAAGGCTTGGTTGGCCTGGGCGT